CACGCTGAGGCAGAACAGCACCGAGGGGTCTGCCGGAGAGGTCTTCTGAGCAGGGCCTGGGAAACAGCCCTCAAGGGCAGAGGGCAGCAACCTGAGCCTGGAAATTGAACCGCTGCCGACTTCACGCCAGCTTGTGACCCTGGCAATTAGCTTAGCATTTCAAGCATTTAATTTCTCTGATTTTCTCTTCCTTGCTGGACATGCACAGTTACGCACTGTGGCTCTGATCTGCAGAAGTGGCTAGTATCCACATGTCCAGTGAAGTCATTGACAGCTGAAGTGCTCAATGTATTAGCAAGTTGAAGTTAGACTGCCAAAACTTATGACACCCAAAATAAACTATGTTTTTAACAATGCTTTTTCTGTGTGTCTTCAAAAGACAAATACTTATGCGGCATGTCTCCTGGGAATACTGTGAAGCAAAACTCATTACTATTTATAATATATGTATGAGTTATCCATTGAAAAGGCCTTTAAAGTATGATTTTATTGTATGCTTTTTAACACTGAGGCAATCAGGTACTGGAAGAGGTTACCAAAGTATATGTAAATTACTCATGGACTTTTTATATCAAGATCAGATGTTTTTCGATGATCCAGTTCAACTACAAGCTAGAGAGCCATAGCTCCACTGATGGTACAGGGAACTTGGGTGGTTTGCTGTTAACTTTGGTCTTGTTACAGCACCTGCATTTGTCCCTAAAATAGCTCATGAGTCAGATTTTCAAAAAAGCTCAGCATCTTTGTGGACACTGACATTTGGGCCAGTTTTCTAAGAGCTCTCCATACTGTGTGTGCATACAATATAAAAAGCTTTTCTGAAAAAAAATCTAGTCCTTCTCCAGCTGATCAAATGAGAATCCAGATTCTCCCGCCTTTAAATGCAGTCCCTTGTGAGGGGCTGTGTTCAAACACCATTACTATGAGTCCTCACTACAGTGCTCCTTCAGGAAGAATGGCTGGCTTCATATATCAGCTGCTGTCATTTTCACTGCAGTTTCTCTAGGATTTCACAGTTGCAAAGAGCCCCTTGGGCTTCTCTGCCTTCCCTGATACTGCGTTCTTGGCAGTGCTGTGGTGTGGGAAGAAGGCTGAGGGCAGGTAAGTGCATTTCTCCTGGGTGCGATAGGCCACAGGGAGATGAGGTAGTAGTGGGGAGAGGATCCAGACATCCAGTCCTTGCTTTATCCAGAGCCTGAGAGCTTGTGCACTTATTGGAAATGACCGTCCCTGCTTTTGAGTGTGATCACTGTGAACTTGTGACGTTAGTGGAAAGTTAATGGTATAAAAGTAATAATAAGCAAGAACCCAGTTCAAAGGGAAAATACATGCATTTTCTGAAGATTTGTGGGGGTTGATGCAAGCATGACATTAACTTGCATCTACTCAATCTAAGCCCGTTCTGTCAGTAAGATTGCAAAGATGAGTGTCATATCTTTGCATCTCAATGTCAATTACTTTTGCTTTAAATAATTTAAAATATATAAAAGACATAACTATTTCCTGTCCAAAGAAGAAATTTTTTGTATCCAGTATCAGTATTCAGATGCACACAAACCCAGTCAAAAACATGAAAGAGAAAGGTGAGGCTCCACATTTAATCCTGACTCTGAATCTTCGGTTACGTAATTTTGTATTCCATTATCTAAGATGTACTGTAAAATGTACGATGTAATCCATCGTACATTTTCATTAATCTTATACAGAGTATTTTTAACAGCTTGCAATTTTCCTTCATTCTGTTACTTCTCATTATTTTCCATTAGCATTATTATTCACTCTCTTTCTTACCTTTATGCAGTTAGTATTTTACTCTCTTGTGAGTGGGCTGAATCCTCCATAAGTAGTCATACAAACTACATCAGTTTGGGACCTAGCTCCAAGTACATTAATAGGAAAGAGTTGAGATGCCACCTTTAAGACCCACCTTCTGTAGAAGAAGGATGAGGTACAACTTTAACTAAAACTGTCCCAGGCTGTCCTCCTATGTTCAGAAAAAAGTCTGCACCACTGCATGGCTCTGACTTGTTCCCCTGCTACCCTTCCTCTCACCATGTATACAGTCCTGCTTCAAACACCCTGGAGGATCTCTAGAAAGACCTCTAAGCGTAATCGTCTTTGCCTCTTGATTGGGAAAGAAAAAGCCAGTAAGCCATTTCAGTACGTGTTTCGACTGGTAGCCAGGTGGGGACTCATCAATTGGTCCCAGCTTATCTGCTCGTGCAGCAAGTGTTAAATGTGCGCAGTTCTTCTTCCTCACTGGGTCACCAATACCTTCCTTGGCCAAGTTAGGGCTAGTGACATCTTAGTCCGTAAAGAGTATCCATCTATGAAAAATTTGATACCAGGAGTACAACGTATTTTAGCTCCGATTCCCTGTACGATGCAAATCAGTGTGCTCTTGGAGGAACCTACGTGTTCAAGATGCCCTTAGTTACACATAATTACCTGTACTGCAAGTAAGTGGTATGTGGCACTTAACTACAAAGGGAACTTACCCAACAGCCAGTCTGGAGAGGTTACATATATCGGCAGGTTTTCACTGGTGTCTGTGAAAGAAACGGTAGCTTTGACCAGTCAGCTCTGACTGCATCTACGCGTTAGTAGGAAATACTTCAAGGCCTTCTCTATGTTTGTCTAGCAATAAGGAAAAAGTAAATAGTTTGGAAAGGTAATAACACTTGAGAAGCAAAATATACTCATGTATTTAAAGACAACAGCCCAAATTTTCAGTTAGTAGAGGAGCTGAGTTACTCCACTGCAAGTTTTCAGTAGTGAGGAGCTAGCCCTGAGGCACACCTTCTAAGGGCTCACAGAATACGTAAGGATGTTTTTTAAACAATTTTTGATAACTTTCTTCTCTCTTTTGACTGTTGTGAAGCTGATGGCTCTTTTGATTTCTCTGGAGTAGAAAAGAAGACAAAAAATTACCATCTCTGGTAATTTATATCATTACATTTCTAGTCTCCATGGAAACCTATGTGGTGCTCCAGTCGGATAACATTCAGTATGTTGCAGCAGAAACCAAATAGAGGGAAGACTGAGTTCTGCACCTTGCCTGTTAATCAGTTAAAAATGGGTTTGAAATTATTTACACGTTGTGTTGCAATCTTCACTTTTAGAGTAACAATGGAAGAAATCAAAGTAATCAAATTAAGCTATTATAGCCTGATCCTACATACACCTATGCACATAACTCTACCACTCAGTTTGATTCTGATAGGCATTGACATTAATTTGGAAAATTTCTTGGGGTTTAGTATGATTATATGGATTAATACTATGGAAACTGAAAGCATAATAGCAAACTGTTTGTCAAGTTGACTCTAATAAAAAGGTTGCCAGAGAGGTAGTAACAATCCCCTTGTTGTAATTTATGTAAGCAAAGCATTTTGAAAATCAAGAACCTTAAATCTTTATCTTTCTCTGTCTTCACTCTTGTTCTTCCACTGCTAAGGAAGAAATACATCTCAAAACTGGTTTCCTCTGAAAAGATATGGTAACTTCATCTACCTGCCTCTTCAGGATTTCCTTTTTTTATTCCAAGCTTTATCAACTTGAACACAAAGGCACATAATCTTACTGGGACATCAGAAGATGATACAGAGGAGGAATACACAGAGAGAGACCAGTTTTTCTTTGTGATCATAGTCAACCCATGAAGAGTGAGTGCTCTCAACCACCTACAAGTAAGTAAAGTATATAGCAATGGAAATAAGGCAGCCTACTGTCAATCTGTAAATACCATTGCATAGACAGCCGTGAGAATAAGGTACACAAAGAAATAAATACAGAATTTTCTAAGCATTTACATTTGAACAATGAAACCCCAGTATTCACTTTACAACTGCACTAAACCACAATGGTGAAATACAGCAGTGATTTATGCTGTTCACTATAACCAAACTATAAAATCTGATCATTTTGTATGTATTTTGAAGATACTTACTGCATTTGTTTCAGAATACCCTGGACAAAATGTATGCTAGCCGAGAGGATATTGGATATGATTTCGGAGATGACTCAAAAGTTGGAAGTAAGCCAATTAAGCCTAACCCAAACATTGATGGAGGATGGGCTTGGATGATTGTACTTTCCTCTTTCCTTGTGCACATACTTATCATGGGGTCCCAAATGGCCCTTGGAATACTCAACATGGAATGGCTCGAAGAATTTAATCAAAGTCGTGGCTTAACAGCATGGGTTAGCTCCCTCAGCATGGGCATTACACTTATTGTAGGTACGTTCCAGCATAATTTATTTCAAAACTACACAGATTTTTAGAATATGTTTGCCACTCATCCTTCAAGTATTTTCTTACAGTTTTCCATTTTACTAGCAGAGCTGCACAAGTTCTCCTGCGTTGCCTTTTTAAAGCCACCAGGACAAATTTTACAACTTAGAGGGAGGAAGGGAACAACAGGGAAGATGATAGAGAAGACAATTACTCCAGGAGACAGCATGAGCAGGAAAGGGTGCCTGTGACTTCAAGGTCTCTCTAGAATTAAGAAATCAGATGATCTGTGAAGCTTGTGGTCTACCCCGTACTCTATCTGGGAGGAGAAAATGTTGAATTTGGACAGTTTATATTTCAGTTTGGCAGCTGAACTGAAACTTATTTTTTAAGTTATGGTTAGATCAACCCAAAATAATATTTGGAGGAGTATGCTTGTGTATATATGTATATACACACTTCTGTCTCCCTAAATTAAGATCGAAAAAGTTGTGTTTAGGTCTGCCTAAAATATTCCACTGAAAACAAAATGTTTACTTTCTAGTCACTTGTGAAAAAGGCCTGCACTCACACAGCATTAGGAACAATGGTTTGAGTTTCTTCCTCTGTTTAAACTGTCCCTTCTTCATGGGGCAACTTTGATTTTAGGTCCTGTGGGTATTTGCTAAGTATTTGGTCAGTTAGTTGGGTATTTGCTAAGTATTTGGTCAGTTAGTTGAATTTTTGTTTCCATGATTTTAAACAGTAGCAGGGAAAATGCACTGAATTGCATGAGTAGTCTGATGTTTAACATTTTGTCTAAAACAGTAAGAATCTTCATGTGAAAAATTATTAAAGAGTGTGGAGAGTTAAATAAATAATTTAACATTTTTTCATGGTTTTTAACAGGTCCTTTCATTGGTTTATTCATCAGCATGTGTGGGTGCCGCAAGACAGCTATTATTGGAGGAATATTGAACGCCGTAGGTTGGATACTGAGTGCCTATGCCTCAAATGTGCACTACCTCTTCCTTACGTTTGGAGTGACAGCCGGTAAGAGCTGTACTAACGTTTGAAAGTTCTTTTAATTACTTTTGATTCCTTTGAAGGTTATCTGGGTGAGTAAAGAGGGAAGTTAGTTAGACTGTAAAGTTATTCCAGCTTTTCTTTTACACTCTTTACAGCCTGTTATCTTTTCAGAAAACTTATTTATTTACTCAGTGGATTGGGCTCAATGACTTTTGCTGTCATTTAAATCTGCCACGAGGAGATGGTGTTTTTATCAGTTTCTCCCAAGCGAATATATTAGAGAACATGTTTAATTAGAAGAATTAATGTAACCCAAACTCTAACAAGTAGAATTTAAAGATGTTAAAACACTGTTGAATTGTATATCTAGCTAACTTCTCTCTTTGTCACAGGAAGAAACAGCAGGAGTTGCTCCTCATTAATATGCCAGATTGTGGTAACTATGTATTGCTTCAAAACCCATTTTAAAGGGGTGTTGTGGGTTACCGCTGGTAGGCAGCTAAGCCTCACACAGCTGCTCGCTCACTTTCCCACAGTGGAATGGGGGAGAGAATCAGAAGTGTAAAAGTGAGATAAAGCTGCATGCACAAGCAAAGCAAAATAAGGAATTCATTCACTACTTCCCATGGGCAGGCAGATGTTCAGCCATTTCCAGTACAGCAGGGCTTCATCATGTGTAACAGTTACTTGGGAAGACAAACACTACAACTCCAAATGTCCCCCCTTCCTCCTTCTTTCCCTCCTGTTTTATTGCTGAGCATGATGTCATGGGGTACGGGATGTCTCTTTGGTCAGATGAGGTCAGCTGTGTCCCCTCCCAGCTTCTTGTGCACCTCCAGCCCACTCACTGGCAGGGCCATGTGAGAAACAGAAAAGGCCTTGATGCTGTGTAAGTACTGACCAGCAACAGCTAAAACATCCCTGGGTTATCAACAGTGTCCAAAACATAGATAGCACCATACGAGCTGCTGTGAAGAAAATTAACTCTATCCCAGCCTGAATTAGGACAACACATATGACTCTATTTCATACATAGTGTCTAATAAAGGATATTGAGATTGCATCAACAACCACTAATAATTAGCAACTAATTTTTCTACATGTTTTTACAATGAAAATCTCTGAAAGAAGTAATATTTTGTCATTTTTGTTGGAATTATGTCTCTAGAAAACCTTTTGACATGTGTAAGAGCCCAATCAAAATATGAAAAGGCCTGCATGTTTAGGCATCTTTCTTGAAAACCAATAGATCCTTAGTGTCTGCATGCTCAGTTTCTAGCAAAATGTGTCTTCTTGTGAAAAAATTCAGTTACTTTAAGAAAGTTGTGTAGAAGAACCAGTATTATCTACTTAAAGCACTACTCCATTGTATTCACTGTTCATTTCTGGAAAGAGAAACTGTTAATAAATATGACACAAAAATGTAAAAGTGATCCAAGTAAGAAAAACAAAATTTGGCCTTTAATTACTATCTGAGCAACACTGAGCAATTCAAGGGCTTTTGAAATATTATTCGCTCTACAGATAACATGGCCAGTTATGTTTGCAAATGAAGCATGGTATCTGTGTTATACGTGACAGACGGAAGCATTATGAAAAAAATTGTTTGCAATACTAATAATAGATTCAGTACCTTCCATTCCCTTAAACTACCCTTTTACAGAATTTCACAGAAATCTGCAGAACTTCTATACATAATTTTTTATAGCGCTCTGGATGGAAAAAAGTTGAAACTGGCAAGGATCACTGTGATGATCTTTATACCATCATAGAATCATAGAATCATAGAATGGTTTGGGTTGGAAGGGACCTTAAGGATCATCTAGTTCCAGCCCCCCTGCTGTGGGCAGGGACACCCTCCACTAGACCACGTTGCCCAAAGCCTCATCATACCATAGATTTCAGTAAAGTTGTAAATTCCTGAACAAAGAACAATAATTACAGGCAGTGTTCTGCTCTTTTGGCAATTTCTATTTCCATATATATTGAATATAATCAAGCAGACAAGTATCTGCATGTTCTTTCTCTCAGCCCTTGCTGCTTTTCAGGAAAAGCATACCAAAAATGCTAGACAAAAAGGCAGAGATTCAACAGGGAATTTAAAGAGGGGTGAAAACCATATTTTCAGAAAAAATCTGACGCAAATTTTTACATGAGGTGGAGAAGTGAGATGCTGTTGCAGGAGTAATCCTGGCCAGAAAACCAGTGTAGAGATGCCTGAGATGTTTCCTCCAGCTCCATGAAACCTCCATTCACTGTCCCCTCACTTGCAGTTCCCTCGCTCACCATCCCCTCGCTCACCATCCCCTCACTCACCATCTCCTCGTTCACCCATTGCCTCAGTCCGCGTCCCCTCACTCCTATCCTCTTGTTCACAGTCACCTCACTCACTGCCACCTCAGGGAAGTTTCTTTCATGTTAGCATGGCCATTAGATGCAAGACTGCTGTTCATTTACAGTGACTGCCTCCTGCTGTGTTCACTTCTGGGCCTCCATGCAGTGCTCATGGGCTTACTCATGGCTTCTGTTCTCCCCGTTGGTGACCTGCCATGCCAGATGCCATGACACAGTGTGTGCCCACAATCACAACTTTGTCCCCCTGGCCACAGCCACCCTGCTGCCTCAGCTTCCATTCCCAAAGCACCACTTGCCTCAGCGTGGTTTCCACCTCCCCAGCTCCTCACAGCGTTCCCCCCTCACCTCCTGGCCGCCAGCTTCACTCCAGCTCCACGGTCTGTCCTTCCCACAGCGGCAGTATGGGGGGGCAGAGGAGCTTCCCCTCCTTGCCCATTCTGGGGAGCACCAGGGTAGGTGCCTGGAGCTGTTGGTGGCAGGGAGTCCCTGTGGGCTGGGGGGCAAAATGGCCCCTGGGGCCCCATGAGGGGAGAGCAGAGCCAGCCTTGGCCACTGCCATGGTGGTGCAGAGTGACGAATCTGTGAGGAAAAGGAGCGGAGAGGCCTGTGGCCCTGTATTACCTAGGAAGGCAGCCTGCCTTTGCATGTGGTTAGACTACATTTTGCTGGGTAGCCCACAGGATGAAAAGGTGAGATAAAACAATTTAACAATTTAAAAAAGTCTCGTGTCTTGGGACATGCAGGGAAGTGCAGTAAACACTAATGCAAGTACAAGCCCAGGCTGTTTTTTCACAGCAGTTGACAGCAGGCTGGTCTGACAAGGCAGGGAATCTTCTGGAAAAGAGCTTTCCTTAGAGTTTGTGGCTGGGTTTGGGGAGGAAGAACTTGTGCAAAATAAAAACCTGATCATGTATTTGCATAGCAAAGAAATAAATACTTCTAACAGGCAAACCAGGTCAGCTCTGACCACAGTATACTGCCATGATGTTGAGATGGTTTTTTTCAGGCTTTGCTGGAATAACAGCTCTTTCTCCAATCTAGCTGTAGCTAGATCACGCTGTAGCTGCATGCAGCTATGTTATGAGCTATTTAGGAAAACTTTTAAGCCCAAACCTCTCTTCTAAATTACGATCACAGTGAATTTGGAAGCATCTTCTGCATACACGTCTTCCAGTCCAAATCCTCTCTTGTCAGGAATTTGCTGTGAGAAAAGCTGGGCAATTGTTACCTTTAAAGAAGTGTTTGCACAACTCTCAGCACTTCCTGCTTGAAATAGGTACCTTTGTGTGGCCCTCCGTGGACTTCCCTGGAGTGGCCAAAGAGAAATCTGGAAGGCACCCAAGGTCCTACCAGTGGGGTAACCCCTGTGCTAACTCCTGACATGTATCTCATGCTCACTGTGGCTCCACAGTTACAAAGCAAGAGGAAAAACTCAGTCTGGATCTTGGTTGCTGGTGAAGTTAGGCAAAAGCAACACTAAGCAATTTCTGGTCACCGATACAATCAGATGCAAGTATTACAAACACATATATTTCAAAATAGGGTTTGTTTATGTTTGTCATATTAACTGTTACTGATTTATTGTGGGACGCTTGGAGCTTTCCAGCGGTGTCGTGCCGAACCGAGGTAAAGGTTTTATCTTCCATGTGTTTCAATTTTTCCAGCAGTTAAATAGCAGTGTTGTATTCTCACTGGAATGAGTTTTGCAAATTTTGGAAAATACTACAAGACAGAAATGAAAGTTAACATGAGAATTGAATATTTATTCTTGGTTTTACTACTATGCTTTAGGAATAACACTGGTTTGTTTTTCACTATTTTTTTATCTTGTTGGCAAAAAGTTCAGATGGATATTGGGGTTTATTTTCGTAGGTGTTGGAAGTGGGATGGTTTATCTGCCTGCGGTTGTCATGGTAGGGCAGTATTTTCAGAAGAGAAGAGCACTTGCACAAGGACTCAGTACCACGGGAACAGGGTTTGGAGCTTTCCTAATGACTGCCTTACTGAAGTACCTCTGCACTGAATTTGGGTGGAGGAACGCCATGTTCATCCAGGGCGCCATATCCCTGAACCTGTGTGTCTGTGGGGCACTTATGAGACCTCTCTCTCCCAAAGACATTAGTGAAAAATACGTTGTGAGAAGTAATAGTGAAGATAATCAGGCAAAAGCTCTGTCCCATTCTGCAGAGACTATAAAATCTAATGGAGTCCTCAGTGAAGAACCAGAAAAAAAAGAAGAGGCAACAAATGAAGAAGTGCTTGACAGTGTTCAGCACATAGAAATTGGAGGTAAATCTAAAAGCGGAAGGAAGATGTACGGATTGCGCATTCTTAAGACAGTGAGCCAGCTGACGGTTACAGTCAGGAAGGGCTTTGCAATATGGTACTCCAGCTACTTTGGAGCTGCATCACTGTTTACCAATAGAGTATTTGTGGCCTTTGTAATTTGGGCTTTGTTTGCCTATAGCAGCTTTGTCATTCCCTTTATCCATCTTCCAGAAATAGTCAAGCAGTACAACTTGTCTAGTCAGAACAATATATTCCCTTTGACATCCATCATAGCCATTGTTCATATTTTTGGTAAAGTGATCCTTGGAATCATATCTGATCTCCCATGCATCAGCACGTGGAACGTCTTCCTCATGGCTAACTTTACCTTGGTCACCTGCATTCTTACTTTGCCACTAATGCAAACATACGTTAGCTTGGCTGTGGTTTGTGGTCTAATAGGATTTTCTAGCGGCTATTTTTCTCTAATGCCTGTTGTGACTGAAGATTTAGTTGGAACTAAACACCTTGCCAATGCCTATGGCATCATCATTTGTGCCAATGGAATATCTGCATTGCTTGGACCACCCTTTGCAGGTAAGAAGTTCAAATTTCTATCCAACAGATGTTTGTATAATAACTGTGTGATTTGTTAGATTATTAAGTTTTCTTATGTTATGAGCACGCGTAGTTAACAAAATTACAGCTGCTCCAGAAAGGACTGTAATATCCAGCTTTACATTGTACAGATGTACACACACCTGCTGGGTATCAGCTCACTAGTCGCACACTACAAATTACCATCCTTGCAAATAACCCCAAATCTATTACAATCTATCCTTTCAATGGTATGTTTCCTTAAAATATTATCATACACTTTTTAAAAATGAGAAAGTTTTAACATATTTTTATGTGTTTTGTGTAGTACATGCACTATACATACTCATGCCTCCATCTAGATGAAAAAAATGAATAGCTTTCAGGGTAGGCAGGTGTTTGTACCATAGTATTACCCCCAAGAACTATAAAGTGTGTTTGAGTGTCACCACTTTAAGCTGCCAATGGATGCGTTAATTTAATGAACTTAGTTTTGCCTTCCTTCAGCCAGAAGTACCTACTTTGGGAACAGCACTGCTCGTAATCTCTTTGTTGCCATCCACAGCAGAAGGTGGAAGTGCATGTATGTTATTCCCTAAAGTTACTTAGGTTTAAACAAACATTCATTATAAATCTCATAGAAAGAGGCAGGGAAGTACAGGAGAGAGAGAGGTACTGATTGTCAATACTGCAGCCAGACTATGGCTATCTTTTACAGAAAGAAGGCAGTAAGAAACCTTGTGAGCAGTGGCCGTGGTCAGCCAGGGGCGGCACTAGGCTGAACTGAAGCTACTGGCAGCACAAGCAACCCAGAAAAGCGAGAATGCTCTCACCTTCTCTCCCCACCATTGAGTGAGCTGACACAATTTAGAAGAAAGCTCATTTAGTGCCCTTTGAAAAGCAGCAGCGTTTTACTGTACCATATCTTCTTGCAGCACCTCGCAGTCTGTGCTGAACATGTCTTTGTGTTTGGTCATTAGTAACGAAGCAACTAGGATGCAGTTAGTTGATGTAAAAAAAGCTTCTGATCTTGAGGTTACATCACAATGCAACCAGCATGACATGAGGGAATTTTGCTATTTTGGGTTCTCAAACCTTTCTGAAGTAACTTTAATGTATTTTTGGAAAGGAGTTAAGGTTGGAAAAAGATGCATTGCAGTGCTGAGATTATATCTCTTGAAAAGTCTTTTATCGGTATGTGAGCCTTTGAGAAAGCTGTTAAGAATGTGTTTGCTTGCACAAGACACAGCATTTGAACTAGCCTGCAGTATCAGGCATTTTACAAAGAAAATAGTAGAGAGAAAGAACTAATTGGTTTGGGATTCCAAAATGTTTATTTTAATGCCAGACCTGTGATAATTTATTTGAAAAATGTAGTTTTAGAGAGAACGTTGCCTGGCTTCTTAGCATGGTACATAGTTAGAGTCCCTTTTAAAGACTTCCATATACTTAAATAAGGGGATAGGTCTTGGACTAGTTTTGGGGTTTCGTGAATGAACAAGACATTAATACATTGCCATTTGTAGCATCTAGAGGAGGAGACAATCACCACCTCTTTTTTCCACAAAACATCTATGGATTTGACTGAAATGTCATAAGAGAAGTGTGCAGTATTTTTTGTATTTTCTCATGCAATGTACCTAGTTGTCAAGCTTTGTAACAAACATGTTTTGTCCTTATTTTGCAGGTTGGATCTATGACATCACACATAAATATGATTTTTCTTTTTACATATCTGGCTTGCTATACATGGTGGGAATAATATTTTTACTTGTACAACCTTGTATTCAAAAGAAACAACCAAGAGAAAAATCTATGGAAGAGGCACAAGTATAGAACAAATTCCAGAAGTTTTTTACAGATTTTTTTTGTTTTCATGTTTCTATCATATGACAGTATGAAGCTGTTTTTCTTATGGAACCAACCACATCATTGAGCTGTACTTAAGTGAAAGGCAAATGTGCTCCAAAATGCTAATAAATTATTAGAAATACGCTTTTAAAATGAGTTAAGATCTTTTACTTTAGAACTAACAAATCCAGCCATTAAAAGCACCCTGCTAGTCTTTTAAAATTGGAACAATGCTAGGAGCCTTTACCCTTGCTTCTCTGCTAACTTTTCACCACTAATCATAGGTGAAACTCCATTGACTGCAGTGCAGTTACTCCTGATTTACACTAGTCCTACAAGAGAATTTCATCAGGATATGAATGATTTATAAAATCAGACTACTGTCTGATAAAACGTTAGTTACTGAGTATGAGAAAATGATTGTATTTCTTACCTGGCTAGTCAGGTACTGTTGAAATGCTAGTACAATAATTCAATTAATTCAGTGTATTAAAATTACTATTTCTGTAATGCAAAACTGAAGAAAAATTCTTATATTTTTCTGAAACGAATATCTACTTCAATTTTTTTTTTTTTATTTTTAAAGTATCAACTGCATAATAAAGTAGCCATCCTCAATACACAGGCTGCATTATAAATGCTGTGACACTTAATGCACCTGAAGTAACACAAACCTAAAAGCAAAACCAGGCAACATATGGAAAATATTATTGTTACTCACAAACTGCAAAACGTTTCCAGAAATAGTTTGAAGTTTCTGGCTGCTTTACCTCATTAGAGGTATTGTAGAACTTCGTCACATTGCCACTGACTCCTTCCATGAGACTTGTTTGTCAAGTAAACAGTACTAAAGAAACAGAGATGGGCAAAATTGGGCAAATATAGCTTTAGAAAGAACTGGACTACAGCACACTAATTTTTGTTACAATTAATTTAATAACAAAACCTGTTACATTATGATCAGTCATGTTGCTGCTCATAATGTACACCATGAACTGTCTATGACTGGTCACGTTTGAGATGTTTGTTCACTGGAAAATTAGATAATGCAAAGCATGGAATAGTTAAAGACCATTTAAAATATTCAAATAAATTTCTTAAACAACATTAAGCACTGGTAATCAATGTAGAATGTTTTGTATGATGGTACAAGACATACTTTTTTCAGCTTTGAGAGGTGACTCTGATATTAATTCTCCTATTACAAATAAAAATCAGTATAGGGTTTTTTCCTGCTAGCTTTATGAAAGTTTTTTCATGACAAGTCAAGTTCTTAGTTTAATACTGATACATGCTGCTGGAATTCTTTAAAAACAATTGTCACTATTCAATGATATTGAACAAATATTGGGAAACAGTTCAGCATGCAACAATATCATTATACAGATCTTTTTGATAGCTGCAAGGTTGGTTAAAAAAAAGTTCTGAACCTCAGCTTTTATTGTTCTATATTGCAGTTCACCAGCTTCTCAGTTTCACACTTTTACAACTGTTGGCAGGGACATACTTTAAAATAGATCACTGAAATAAGCCAAGTTAAAAAAGAAAACCCCAAACTACTTAAAGATTTAGATCAGTTCATTCATATAGGATAGTTATGTATGGCCTTTAAAATTCCTATTAAAACAGCTGAGGTGGCAGTGAACTGCAACACTTGGTGTGAACACACAGTCAGTAATTTCTTAAAATCAGCTTTTTTGTTGGAGAAAATGTTCACGTAAACTACATTTTCACATCAGTCTTTTTGTTACAAGTTTAAAGTCTTCTTGGTGTGAATGCTGCTGCTGCTAGCTTATTTTAACTGAGCTAACTTTTGTTGGTGAAATATATATATTGAAATGATGATTTCCCTCAATATCCTTTTTTTTTCTTTTTGAAAGATACATACCCTTTATACTTCAATCTTCATCTTTTGTCAAAATCAATTTTATTTGCATATTACTGTAATGAATAATATGTTGTTCACTTGTGATATCTGCAATATAGCTTTCTATAGAAGTCCTTACTGGGCTGTACAATGGGAATAAATTTACATTACCCAAAATTTCACTTTCTGTTCATTTACTAATTAAGTTCATTTTTTTATGCTTAAAAATGAAGATTCTCCTGCAAAATGATTGTTCTTATTTCTTGTAACAGAAAGGACAGGTACATGGTTTATCAAGGAGAAGGGAATGTGGGCTGACAAAATGCAGTTAAATTAGGATTTAAAATTAATATTCACTCAGTCCATATTGGCTAGCATGGGTTCTAATTTCCTAACCTGAAACTGCCTAAATCTGTTATGACAGCGCAAGCTAGGAAAAAAATTAATTGGGGGTAAATTGACAGAAAGTGAGAAAAGAGGGTCTGTTGTTTAGTAGCCCTGCTCACATACCATAGTTCTTAAAATCACCTCTCTAAAGCAAAATTACATTTTATAGTGTTTTACTACACAGAACAGAATTTTTATGAATACAGTATTTTATGCACATTGTGAAATTTGTATTTGTCATTGTCCTAAAGGAAATAGTCACAAAGAGAAAAGAATATACTTGTTTTTTTTCATCTAAAGATCCACAATCACTAAATGCTTCAAGAATATTGGTATACAGTTGTAGAACAAAATATTGCTAATCTAAATTAGCAAATACCTTTTAAGAATTAAAATACTGCTTTATAAAGAAATACAATGATACTAGGAACGTTTTTAATCAATTTATAAAATTCAAGGTTAATACTTGACATGTTAAAAAATTGTAAACGGATACACTCTTCAAATATTACTGTTATATCCAAATACTGCAATCACTGTTTTTAATACTCAGGTCTTAAGTGCAGTCAATGGCAAATCATATATTAATCTACTGGCACTTTCAGAGTAATAACATTCGGCCTCTTAATTACTGACGTTGATTGTTGGAGTAAATCAGTAATGTCAGTAAGAACTGCCTTCATTTTACAACACTCTTAAGTAACCATTGTTACAGTCTTGTAAGATAGCAAATGTCTCTTATCAAATATGCTACTCGAAGAGTGGAAGTCGATTACTTTCAGAAGTTCTTGCATCAGCAACATCAAGGAAAAATGTTGCCTATATACCCTTCTACCACAGTGCCTCAAATATGATTTTGATGGATTGTCCAGGATGAGGATGATAATCTGATCCACACCCTCAGTCACCAAAGATGTTTCTTCTTGGTGACAAAATTATTACCTGCTTGAAGCTTAGAGAATTAGTTTAAAAACATTTTAACACACATCAAACTGGAATGAGCTACATGTGACTTGCCTATAAACATTGCAAATTTACCATGGGAAGTAAAACCTCAGCATTCATCAGCAATTTCTGTAGTAAGACAAGACAGATGGTTTTCTATGGAGGTAGTGATGACAATGCCACAGCGTCTGGTATAAGTCGTGGAGCATGTATAGCATATATAGAACATAGAGAAGTCAGAATGAAAAAATACAAAGAAGCCACAACCTCTTCTATTACTAGTAACTGTTACAATGCTGACTGTAATACAATTTCAGAATGCCCAACATGTTAAACTTTGTATTATTTACATGTTGCTCTAAGACATATTTTGTTTTTCGTCTTTCAATCCTTAAAATACTCTGCTTTCCCTAGTAAAGCAGGAAAGTCAGTATGTCTGACCTGATAAACAGCAAATCCAAACCTTCTAACAATTGCTTCAATGAAAAATGCATCTTTATTCTGTTGGTTTTTCGTTCTGAGCATCTTGTTTCTGCCGCCTCCTTCGGAGCTGCAGCTGTAGCTGAAGTCTGTTTGTGAAGAAGAATTGTTTCCAGCCCATTTCCTGTGCAAGTTCTTTCATTTCAGGTGTAATTGTGTCACACAAGTTCTCCACAATGTTTTCCCATAGTGCATTACTGTTACATATCTAGTTGTAAGAGAAAGTAGAGGCTTAAAAATGATAATTTGGCTTATTCACTGCTGGTTATTTTACCACACAAAATGTGTTTAGACAATACAGATGCCTTGTATGAAGGTCACTTGCAGTGCAAGCTGCCCACCTATCTTAAAGGACACAGAATTAGTTAAAACTCCCAATGACATCAGTGAAAGTTTTGCCCAGGGTTGCCAACACAAGATACTGCATGTTCTTCTGTGAAAAGTTTGAGAAGTTTCTTTTGGTATGATACCAAAGGCCTTTCTGCTGCACTAAAAGCAGCTGTAATGCCACATACGTTCCTGGTATGTAATTCATACAGCCCCACTGAAATCAATCGAGCTATGTCAGATTATGCCAAAGAACTTGTCAGGATGTAGAAATCACATCACAAATACCAATCTGTTTTCAAGGGAAGTAAAAGAAGCAAATTGCCTTTGGACTTACAACAGAAATGCAATTTTAGGAAACTTTCAGAAGCACTGTAGGGATTAAGCCTGTTTCTCAGGAGATGTTTCTCTCTTTGAGAATGACTCCATAAACAGAATCCAGTGGAAATATTATATTATAAACAGAAAGAAAAAATTATCTAATTTGTTAGATGACAGAACCATCACAAAAAAGAATTAGGAAGATACTTTGTGTCACTGTATATTATCTGCCCATTTTAAGTCATAACAGAGCACAGTAACACTGATTCTTCTCCCCAACACTCCGCTTCTCTAAATGTGTAATTGCAGGGACCTAAGTGGAGCTACGCTGGATTACTCCAGTGCAAGTGGCTGGTATGTCTGGCACAAGTAGTAACAGAAATAGAAAAGCAAAAGTCCTGGTATAACTTCTGTTACATACTGCTGATGTAGCTGGATGCCTTGAACTATTTAATTCAATGACTACAGCAAAGCTGTATCAGAGTGTGTGGGGTCCTATTTTTGTTGTTCTTGAATTGTGAGAGTGACCATACTGCAGGCACACACGACATGCTAGCATATTTTAGTGAAGAAAAAGCAAGGATTATTAGGGGGGAAATTGCTGTAGAAGTCCTGAAATGAAAATATATTCCTTTTTTAAAGTTTTCTTTAAATTTCTGCGTGCTCTCTGTCTCTAACCATTCTGCTGTTCCTATGAAGAATGGACACTATTAAGTTGAAGAGAGTGCAGAGTGGGTTTTAGTATCATATATTTGTATTTCCAAACACAGTTTGCTATTAAAAAAAATAATCACTGTCATTACTGTGGTAAGAGCTTGTTCTTGCTCTTGTGCTGGGAATCTGGCTCCCTCTGGTGGGAGTAGCTTCCTCGAGCTCCTAGCAAGCGGTATTTTTCTTTTTATAGTTTAATTTTGCCTGTTTTGGCTATCTAATAACCTTGTACACAATAAACTGAACGAGTCCTACCCTGAGCTTGTGCTGGGAGACATCACAATGTAGCGGTTTGCTAAAAAAGTATCTGGGAAACTCATACAGTGCTCCAGTGGTGGTGTCCACCTTAGGACTTGCGTACATTGTGTCTTTTGAGGTGGAGCTTCTTATACAGTACTTAAAAATAGTACCCAGTGGAAATCTAAAATGCTTTGAAACGCATATTGAAAGCACCTGGATACTCTGGAGAGCAGGATTTAAGCTCAGAACTACAGTCAGAGTAATGCCACGCTTTGGGTAACAAAGATATGCATTTTGTTCAGCCTACAAGGATGCATTGCGTGGATGGATGTATGGAGCCTTTTGCACTCTTCAGTCCTGAGTGCAGAGATTGTTCTGTTTTTCCCAATTTGAAAACCTGAATATGCTATTTTATAATTCCACATAGAGCAGCATTCCAGCCTACACATAAATTAGAGTGGAAGTGAAAATTCATAGTATTGGGGCAATTTTTTAATTCCTTAAAAATACTGCTGAAATGAGAGAAAGAGAGCATGGCCTTACTAGTTATAACAGGTTATTTCATTGTGCCAAAATCTTATCTTTATTATTATGCAAGTTAATTCTTTCCAGGACTTCCTTAAACTCCAGAATATCCAAGGCTTTGTGTTAAATTAATGAAAAGATCACAGCCCTCCACAGTTCCTCATCCTACTCCACGCACGCTCTGCAAATGATGGATGGATTCCGAATATACTAATAAATAATTTCCTGACCTCCCTTCTACCCATTCTTTTCCTCTCCTTTAGTTGTTTTTATTCTCTCATCCTCTACTGGTTGTTTCCTAGTCACAATATCAGCTGTTTTATCTTCAAACTGAAACAAAGCCCAGAACTCAGCAAGCTTATCTACTTCCATCTGCCCTTCATCTCCTCTAAATTCATTACATGCTCTATTTTGCTATCTCACTGTTTTCTCCTGTGCTTTCTTTACACCGTCTCCTATTTCTTGGTCTCACTTGAACTTACTACAGCATCTATAGTGTCTTCGTAGCCACGCCATAGGGACAGCAGTACAGCCATGTCCTCTTGAACTGTCAGCAGTCTTCCACAGAACTTTTCTTGAAATCTTGGGCCACATAGCCTCAAAATAATACAAACCCTGTAAGTAATCTCATCCTGACACAATCTGGAGATGTACTCTGTACCAGAGGCATGTCCTGTTCTCCAAACTAAATGGTTAATCTGTCTCTCTGAAATCTTTCAGAGAGTATCTATCTGTTACATCAGACTCAAGATGAGTAAACCTGTTTTTATCTTCCTCCTAAAGTCTCACCATTATTTATGTTTTCAGTAACTGTACAACCCATAACTTGACAGGCTTCATTCTAGGCTCCTACGACACCTTTGGGGATAAGAATCAAGTTATTTTTCCCTTTAATATGCTTCTCTTCCTATTTTTCATAAGCCAAACCCCTTTTCTCCCCCTACCTGAGTTACTGCAGCAGCCTTTTCTCAGGCTCTGAGTGGGATAGAAAATGTGATTTTGAGGTATTCAGACCCACAAAAATAAGCTTCCTAGATCATAGCTCTGAAAATGTTATCTTTTCATCCCTCCAAGTACCTGACCCCCACAGACCAGGAAGTTGCAATAGATGACCTCTCAAAGGCCTTTCCAACACAACCTAAGTTATCCTGTGACTTTTCCCTTTTTGCACCAACAGATTGGCCCCCATTCTGCTGGGACTTCCATGTTATCCTTCCCTATTTGTTACCCCTCATTCAGCACTGAGAGGCTACCCATAGCTCCAATCAGCCAATAGTGGCAACTTCAGTTATTCACTCCTAAAGTTTCAATTCAACATGTTCATACTATTTCCCATACTTTCCTGGTTGTTGGAAAGAGGTTCCAGGCAAGCAATCATACTGCAATCTCTTTCTCCTCCTGTGTTGCTTACAGTTCCTTGCTACAAGGTCTACAAAAATCTTGAAAAAAATCTTTTTCCTTGTGCTCCTGTCTTTTGTCAAAGACTTAAAATGTAAGCTCTCCAGGAATGGCAACGTTTTTTGTTTGTTAATGGGTCTAGCATAAGGGGATCCTGGTTTGTGGCTGAAGTTTCTAGACTTTACAATAATACAAATCATAATGCAAAGCATAGGTTTTACATTTCAAATACTTAATCGTGGAAGTAGTGCATACCACCCAACCCTGGGTTACCATGGAATTAACTGGATCATTGTGTTTATGTGCAACAAAAGTTTGCAGGATAAGTGCAGTCTCTCTAAGATCTAGTTCTAAGGCTACAATCTAGCCTTTCAAAGATCTAGTTTTATTGCACCTATTCAGTTGCTTCTATACAGATGATTAATTTATTGTCTCAAACTTTAAGTAAAGCAGACAGATTGATGACTATATTAAACATGAGATGAATCAAAACCAACATGCTGCACAGCAAAACTAACAACATTAAAATAATTTACAATGTATTTTTAAATATTTTTTGGTTTACCATTTCAAATCTGCGTGACACTTGAGAAAGCCTGGCAATATCTTCAAGCTCCAGAAAGGAAATGATGTACAGCAGCAATGGGACAGGAAGCCATTCCAGGAAGTCATAGTTACCTCGGCACAGATTGAGGACATGTTCTAGAACTTTGGCACCAAACACCATAGCAATCTGAACTGTGATAAAAAAAAAAAACAAAAACCAAACCCAAGAGACAACAGATTTGTTAAAGCCTGAAATTTCTTCCCAATAATCCCACATTATTCAGATACATCTTTAAAAAAAAAATCAGAAAAGTCAGATCAATTTTTTGGATGTTTTCTAGAGAAAATAACGTAAAACATCTTATATTGAACAATAGTAATTTATAGTATATCAATTGATCTTAAGAGTTGCTAGTGATATCCAGGAAGCCTGAGCAGTAAAACAAGGCTTTAATTAAAAAACTGCACATTGTCTTGTATACAGCAAAATCTTGTCTCAGCTGAGGAACATTAAAACAGCAACAAAGCTGAACTGAAACTTGTCCAGATCCATTTGGTCCACTTTTCCACATCCATCTATATTTATTTACATAAAAACTGTGCTATTTACTCAGGAGTAAAACAATTGAAAAAAAGTACTTCAGTCGTAAGCATTGGGGAACATAATGATTGCTCTGACATTAAGAGTCCCTGTAGTTCTGCCTCTTATCTGATGTAGGTACAATTAAACTACTAAAATGAAATTGAAGAGAGTTCTCTTCTACAGTGACATGATGTTTTTTGACTCATTCACTTTGTGATCCAGTACACCACCAAATTCTTTTTCTATAGATCTGCTACTTAGTGAGCTACTCCCCATCCTGCATTCATACAGTCGATTATTTGTGCTTCAGCATCCAACTTGGAACTTAGCCTTTTGAATTTAACACCATTTCTTCAGATCATTTATCTATTTTATCAAATTGCTACAATCAAAATACTAGTTCATTATAAAACAGGATCCCGAATTCAATTTGAATGATCAGTGGTAAATTTTGGAGCTGCATGTTGTTTCCTAAGATCTGACGACACAAATGCAGTCATCTAGATTCGCAAGGGATTTTTTTTCTTTTTTTTTTTTTTCTTTTCATACAGGGACAGGAACATAAGGATCAAAAGTTTAAATACAAAGCATTTAATGAATTACTACTTTTTGTATTATGAAATTATTCTAATGCATCCAAAATGGGGAAGGAGGGGGGTTGTTGTTTTGGGGATTTTTTCTTTCGGTTTGTTTTTTTAACCAACCAGAGTCTATATTCTCATATATGTTAAAGGCACAAAAGGAGAGAGAAACAGAATCATGGAAGTTGAAACTCTACTGACGATAGGCAGTAAGTGCATCCAATTTTGATGCGGCAGTTTTCCTTCCAAAATATTTTGTAAGATGAGTTACAGAACTAAAGCTTTTGTGAATACATTTGAGAGAGTTTTCCAAATTACACAATTTCACTGTTAAGATGTTAAGATTTTTTCTTATCTTTTTGTTCCAAATATTCCTAAGGTAATTAGATGGAAGCTATCGCCTTATCTGCCTTCATGTCTTTGGGTAGATGGCCCAATCCTTTTCAAAGTTTCTTTTTCGTTGCTATGTCATACTGCATGTGCAAACAGTTTGCTGTTGGTTCTTACTTGCTTTTTTGCTTTCTAAGCATCTCAGTTCTATATAGTTGGTAATTTTCCTCAAATTCCTTATGCAAGTACAAAAAATGATCTACAGAGTCAACTAAAAATTGTCTGGCTAATCTAATTCAAGCTGGTATGTAAGAATGATCCACATATTCACACACTAGGAATGACGATAATGTTTGTAGTGTGCATCTACTTCATGTTGAATGATTAAGCAGGCTACACATGAATACTTGCTGCTCCTTGAGTTTTTCTTGAAATTTTTTTATTTCTAGAAATAATAATGTGACCTGGTTTGGCTATTTTAAAATATATTTTAAAAATATATTTAGCTGTATTTATCTTGCTTTATAAATGTATCTGTAGCTAATGATGAACTAACTGTGAAAGTATATTGAACTTCAGTTTTTCTGTGACATCTTCATCCTATGAGTGCTGGTTACTACTTGATGACTTGTACTATTTGTTCACTCATCCAAAAACGTAAACAGATCTCTCTTCTCTTGCCCTACATTATCATCAATTAATTTTCTATCTTTGCAAAACCATAATGAAAATCTAGCCATATACAAAATCTTGCTCTTCCCTCTTGGCTCTTTTGAGATTATGAAAAGAAACTAATGATACCTTACCTCACTGTCCAAAAAGAAAACACTTCAAAACAAAGATTACAGCTGTATGGTAGTTAGTATAAATTTACTAAAATGTTAATGTTTATTATAAAATGTTTACTTCCTCAGTTTTCTATTGGATGTTTAAATGCCTGTATGGGCTATTGATAAAATGTTTCATTTGCAGGGGACTCTTCTTCCTATGCCCATTAGAAATAATTTAAGCTTTTTTTTTTTTTTTTTAAGCAATTTTTCTCTAAAAATCTCCGACCATGTGAAAACTGCTAAAATCTTAGGAATGAGAATTAGGAGATAACAACAGGAAATACTAATACTTAATAACAGATAAACATTGCACTGGTAGGGGTGTACCAGTACAAAAAACCATTATTTAGCAGAAAACCATGGGTCTGGGTGAGGAATCTTTTATTTGAACTGTCATTTGGCAAAAAATTCAGTAAGGATAACTAGAATATTATTCTAGTATATGTATTTGTGGAGAATTATGGAAAAAAAAATAATATCTGCGAATATTTAGAAGAGCAGCAAAGCTCCTCTTAACAGGAGGTGAGAAGGAGGTGTAAAAACATCTGATTGTGTGGAACAGCAAGAGCTATGGACAGAAATAATATCAATATAACAATGCAACTTCTCACAAACATAGTAATTTGTATTTGTAATACTCGTATTTATGTTAACATTTTTCTGAAACAAAAAAGACACAACAAAAACCCCAAACCCCCCACTTTTATTTTATATTACAATTTTACTAAAGCCCAGAGGGAAAACCCCATATATGATTTTAAAGATAATTTTAGACGGAGGAAGAATGACTAAGTGTTAGGAAAGAATGGCAACTGTGGCTTTCAATACTTCCTATAGGATGGGAAACCTCTGAACTACCAATAACACTTTTCAAGAAAAAGTTTGATTCATAACCTATGGAAAACACACGCTATTGTACCCAGGTGATGTAAAACAGATGTTTTATTGTGACATTATATTAATATCAAATGCCACAGGAAAATCTTACAGTATAAACAATGAGGAAAAAAAACCAAGCTAAAATCCTCACCAATATATATTCACATATCAAATCTACTTTTACGAGGTAAATAAAAAAATAAATTGAAATTAAATTTTGAAAATAAAAAACACTAAAACCTATTGCTAAAATTCAGCTATAAATTCTATGTAATTCTTGGCAAAAAGTATAGAAGACTACTTCTTTGAAAGCTCAAGTTTATAAAAATGGATAATCAATTTTGTCAAATTAAAATGCGGTGCTACTCTTTGCCGCAACTCATGGAGCGACTATAAACACCTACTGCAAAAAAGCATAGCATATTTAATGATTCTCTGAGTGCTGGCCAAATTCAACAGGCAGTCCATTTTCTATTGGTTCATGATACATTCATGCTCCTTCTAGTCAAAACAAGTAGTAATAACTGGAATTAAAGATTTGTTTTGTTACAAACTGTGAGTGCTGATTGAAACTTTTTCCATGGTTTGTGCATATATCATCCAGTCTCTTGAGCTCAGAGTGTGCAGGCTTTCCATCCATGCAGCACTAACAGCAGTCTCTTGCAGTCTCCTTACCCAGCTGCCTAAGGAAGTGTTATTATTTCAATCAAATTCACTTGAAATTGGTCAGTTGCAAAAGTCATAATGGGGATTAGAAACACAAACCTAAACATAGAAATGCAGATCACATTAACTCACCAGGGCCAAAAATCTCTTCATTGTGCTGTAGGAAGTGTTAGATTTTAATAAGCAAAGTGTAGGAAATGTGTTGGTCTTATTTCAGACCCTAAATGCAGATACACTCAAGTTTACTCTTGAAAACAGGTATATTCTCCTGAGGTAAGTTTTGCCCTGTCCCCTACCACTGGGGAGATTGATATACTTTGGAAAGCAAACCTCCTCTGCCTAGGTGTAAATAAGATGACATTGATAAGCCGTTGATGAGGAAAACAGGACATTTGGAAATGATGTCCTTCAAGTTCATCATAAAAATAGGATAAATATGAAGTCACATCTGTAACTAAATTTTTTTATGTCTGTATATAACTCAGAATACAAAAAGCTATAAAAGCCTCAGATCTCAATCCAGTCCCTGCAGGTGCAGTTATGAAGTTCTCCATTTTCAGACCAGATCATAGCTCAGACCTCACCTATTCGCTGCAGTTTCTGAATTAATGTGTCTGGCTTAGTATTTTCAGGGAATCTTTTCCTCTGTGAGCCATGACCAACCATATCTTGTGACATGACATCTCTTAAAACTAATTAATTACTGAGAACTGAGATTATAAAAAGACGCAGAGCAATAACTACATAGTCCCATGGAACTTTGGGAAAAAGCATTATTTCAGAAGTTCTCAGTGGCCAGTCTATCTATCAGGCCAGTTGGAACACAGCTCTATAAATCTACTTTTTGAGGTTTATTTAGTGACATTCCCACTGCCTTTCTTTTTGTGACTGTATGCTCCTAAAGTCAAGCTGTACTTGTATAATCCTAAGTACCTGTTGCACTTGGTGTTACTTAATTTAACTCAGATTGGGAATCCAGATGGCCCACGACATGGCCATAAAACCAAATGTCCTGGAACAAAGCATTATAAAGACTGAGTTATTAGCAATAAAAATACTGCTTTCTGGCCTATTTTTGTTGCTAATGCTTCTGTTATTGTCTTATAATGAAACTCTCAATGTTGCTGGGATTTATCCTATATTTAAAGTTACTGTCATGTCTTTTTGTTTTTCCAGTATTCATACATTAATTTATATTAACAAATTCATATAAAAAAAGCCTGTTAGCCAAAGCAATAACATCATTAACGAAAGCTATTACAGATCAATATTTCTAGATTATTCCATTATATGCCACAGCAAATTTGTAATTATTATTGTCATCTTACTATGAAGAGATGAATCATCCAAAAAGTCCTCCTGGGATTCTTTAATTTCTCCAGGTCTTGATTCACGAAATTCATTCCTAAGTGAGATTTTCCACCACCTAAAAATTACCTACAATTGTGGAAGAAGAAAAAGAAAAAAGGAAGAAGAAATGAATATCCAGTATCATGAGATAAACATATTGCTAAGATTCAGGACTCTGGTTGTGTAAATATTACTCCATTCCCAAAACAAAGTTATCATAAGACATCAGACCATGGTTACATTACCAGTGGCCCTACAACATGCTTCAAAGGACAATAAACATCCCATAATGCACCTAGACAAGAATGAAATGTTTTTACATACAAAGAAAATGTTCCCAACCCCTGCGTACAAATTGCTTGTAGAAATTAAAACACATTTAGTGACATCTCAACTTGCAAAACTATAAACATTCTCTTTCTGTTTTCATTTAGTTGCAGAAGCACAATTCATCAGGCATTAAGTTATGTGGTTAAGTAGAAATACCCATTCAATGCTCAGGCATTCAAACGCGACAGTATTAGAAGTTAAACTGTCATTTTAAGATTTTGTTAAAATTAAAACTAATAGGACAGTTCAAAGTTCAGCCCTTAGACTGTCTGAAAACTCTGGAAAAAGCTCTCCAGAAGTCCACATTCAACTCACATTTTCAGAGTTAGAGAAAGAAAAGACAGCCTGCATTACAAAGCATGCAACTGAGACAAAAGTTTAATATGAATAGTAAATTGTGTAGCTATGAAATGATGGAGAACAAGTGGCTCTGGCTATCAGTAATTTTCCCAGAGTTCTCTTAAAACATTACATATGTGCTTGAACAGCGTGTCACCTTTTAATAGTGACTTTTGTTTTGTTGCTTTCACAGGTGGCTCTACAGGAGAGGAGAGTCAGAATCATGTCTCTTCCTTCACACAAGTTGTTAGCAAAGATCACACTCCAAGCCAGAAGTAGGATTCAGTTGCTGTTGTAGGCAAGGTTAAAAAAATATCTTGTAATATTACTAATATTAATCTGGGTTTTTTCCCTTCCATTTCACTGAGAAAAGTGAGAATTTTACATTGTTATATGTGTATGTGGATTCCTGACACATCAAGTGATAAAACTGACAAATGAGAATATTAGTGAGGTGTACATCTATAAACATACACATGTGTATACAAAAAAATACACTCCATAGAGTTTTATTTTTTCTAGTGGCCTGTAGAAAAGGAAAATTAAAAGCAAGCCTTGAGTTAACTGTCAGTAAGTCACAGAAGACTACTCACATATACTGACTGAACAACACAGAGTTAAATTTACTATTACAAATCTTAGATCTGACAACAGTGGTTTACACCTCTCAAGGTGAAATTTAACTTTAGATCTCTCTGGTATTTCAGTGTCAAAATGTAGACTTTAAAGTTGATTTTTAATGTTAGATTTTAAAGTATTTGTAACTCCTGATGAGATGCATTCACTTTTATCATTAATTTTCAAATTAAAGCTTAGACTCCAAACAATCTGCTAGGGCAGGCCCATACCAATAATTTTTGTATTTCTCAGCTCTTGCGCGTATCCTGTTTTTATCTCGTGTACAGCAATTGCAAACAAGTTTGAATAAAGGCTGAACATCTACATCTGAATGTCAAATATAGCTAACTAAACTTATCATTTTGATGTTTATTGTGGCTAATATATCATTATATAGGGTAATTGGAATTACTAAATTATATTTCTGACAGCATACATACAAAATAGCTTTGATTAACTCTCAGACATGTCTGCAATACTCTGTAAAATAACCTTTGCTATGTGAATAAAAGAAAAACCATGCTGCTCAGTTGCATAAGTTCATCCTATTTCACAATTACACACACAATCTTTATTCATCTGCAGTGAGAGTCACCTCTTTGAAGGGGAAAAAAACCCCATTCATCCAATCTGCATTCTAGAATTTAATATATGAAAAATAAATTACACCACTGAAACATTTTATAATAGCAGAGTTAACATTTCTATAGAGTACATGCACAGTATAGACCACCACAGTGCTAAAATAACACCACTTAATATACTACTGGTAATATGAGGATTCAATGCAAAAGACTTTATAAACCACTTGTCATTCTGTTTTGGTGATGATCTTACTACCTGGGAAGGCCTCAGAACAAGTATGTTTGTAGCCCAGCGTGGGGATAACTGGACAATGAATGCTGAACTGTACTGTACTTCCAAAAGCTCTTTTTATCTCCAGCAACGGAGGGAGAATCAGCATGTGAGGCTAACTCCATTCTTATTTGTGGAAAACATGAGGCGAGAACAAGGTCAGAAGAAAACTGATATGCAAATAGAGAAAGAAAAGACATCTTTCCACATGCTCCTCAGCTTGCATACCCTTCAAAATGGTATGCAAGAATACAGTATATTATAGGGGGAAAAAAATCATTATTAAAGGAGAAAAGAAACCTGGTTAATATGCTTTCTCTCAGCCTTTTCATGTTACTGTTGGAAGTGACATTTCTTAAAAAAAAAAGCAAACAAAGTTTCTCAGTATGGAAATGCCAAGTGTAACTGAAAAAGAAAATAGCCACCTGCCCCCAAAACCACTTATCAAAATGATTAATGATGACTGCTGCTTTTCAAATTTTGAACTTTAATACCTAGAACATTCTTCAGATAAATTTCCTGTGTAACCTTACAGATTTACTTATACACAAATCCAGAAGTGTAATTCTTAAAAAAGCAGAACTATGTTGCACAACAGATTATAATGTGTTGTGATCTGTTATAAAATACATTAATAAATACTTTTCAGTGTGGGATATATAGTACAATAAAACTAAGTGTATACAGAGCAGATGCTCACCCAAATTCTGCACTGGTGTAAGCAAGACAAACTTTTCACAGTAAGTATTCTATATATTTTTTTTGTTTAGTATTTTGTGGGTATGAGAGTATTTCTCTGTAACATAAGTTTATGCATACACAGGTGTACAAGAACATATTTAATCCAAACACTAGAGTGTGCATATATGTGTATGGACTCTTGAGTAAGATTTTATCTTTATACAATTCAACCAACCCTAAGATGTAACACTAAGTCAATGATCTACAAATGAAACACGTCTCCTATTTTTAAAGCAATTACAGTAGATGTTTTAACATGGTTATAAACATTTACTTTCGTGTGTATTGTTGTACAATTATAAAGTCCAAAGCATTTTAATACTAAATTCAAAAACTTAAAAAAAATTACAGAAATACATATTTCAGTAATCTCTCCTCCTCTTAATTGCTATACTAGGAAGCACACTGCAACAGAACTTTCTGCCAGAATGGGAAAATCGGGTCAACATGCAGAGGCACAGGAAAAGTAATATATACAAGTAATTATATTAAATGCCACTGTGTATTTTCTAAACATTACTCTTTGATTTACAGTGGAACAAACTGTCAATAGTGCTATTCCACCTAAAAACTTCCTTATGTACAAATACCCAGGACAAACTACAGTTACCTTGGTAATTTGTTAGCACACGGTTATTTCAAAGAAATAGATTGCATAGATTTTGTAATACCTATACTTTTACATATATTAAAAAGATGAAGAATGGAAAGTATTATAAGTTCATCCTGGTTGCCATGGACACTTTTCATTCTTCATGTTATTTGGAGGTGCAAGTGTTAAAGCAATTCACTACCACACTGCTTATTCCATTGGCATTTCTTCATGAAAAAAGAGAGGGGATGACAGGATGAGCAGAACCAAATCTAAACAGCAACAACCAGCCAAGATTTTGGATAAAAAGTCATAGTGATTTTTTTAAACAAATAAAACAACTAAAATATTTAAGCAAAAATTAGCAACAGATAAACTATTTAGGAAGTATTTATTGTAAAAATTAATCTGGACTGCAGATTACAAGAAGCATAGTACTATTTACATTGTATGAGAAAATAATATTTGAAGTTTGTCTATGGTGAGCTATCTTTTAAGGATGCTGGGCTCAACGTTCCCTTAATTTAATCTATTTCAGAAGTTACAGAACTGAAGTCTCACATGACAGACTCAGAGGGTTTAATGAGAAACCTGGGGGAAGCTGAAGAAAGACAGTGTGACTTGTGAAGCCCTGTTATAAAGGCACATATGAGAAACTGTTTCCTTCTCCAATATACATTTTTACGATTTCAAACCTCTCCAGACTCAGCTTCTGCTTTGCTTTTTAATTTCTCAGATTATAGGTTATTTGGAGATTAATCTTTCCTGTTTTTCTCTTGTTTACTTTAAATAGTTAAACATTCATTAGAAGAAGGTGGTGACTCTGGAATCTAGCAAATAGCGCTTGCTGAGATTTAGATCTAGATTCAAATATTTTCCTCAGTCCCAGGTGAGTGGCCTAAATCCCCAGTCTTTCTTTTTGGTCTTGGATTTGTCACTGCAGTCCAAGCTCTCATTCCCCTCTGCAGTGAAGGAGGCATTGTGTCTTCTACCAAAAAAAGCAGTCACATTCTCAGTTAGTCTTAGTGACTTTACCTCTACTGAATCCCTTCTCTCAGGCTGTTTTATCCCATATTCTATTCCTTTTCCACAGATTTAAAAAGAAATAAATAATTAAATCTCTGCTTTTGGCTGGGTTTTGTGGAATGAAGGAGACTGTAAAAATTTCTGTTGCCTTACTATTTGATTTCAAAATTAGAGTATTCAAATGCTTCTGTCCCTCATTTTATCTCATTTTCTCTTGCAGAATATTGTTGCATTTTTGCTACAATTTCAAATAAATCTATTATTTTTAAAGCATTCCATTTTCATGCACTTCAGTATAAAAACCACCCATTTCACCATCACATAAATCTTTACAAAATAAAGGCGGAATAAATATTAGCATTACTGAAACATCTTCAAGGAGATAATAGTAAGATAGATGTTTCTAAAGCTATGATCTGTATACCTACATATCTTTCAGTTAATTCATTGCTTGAAGCCAGTATCAGCTAATCTGTTGCCTAAGAGTTCGTAAACCTAAGCTCAATTTCCACACCATGAAGTCAAATGCCTTCACTAGATAACTTTTTTTAAATTCTGAAATTAATTAGCACAGCGCAAAGTTTACCTGCTTCCTTCATCTTTCCTGTCCTTGTTAATGTAGATGCAGTTTTACTTATGAAAAAGCACTTCTCCTGTCATAGCTTTTTCTGCTCTTATTCTAATAGCCACATCTAATTAAGAAGCTGATACTATAGTACTATGAAGTTTTTCATGCAGTTGCAGCTACATCCACACTACAGCTTTGACTGCATAAGCAATAAAGGAAAATGTAAATAGGACAATAGAAATCTTTAGGCTTAGACAGACCTACGCTCATTTTGCAAGTGAACGAAGCTTAGGCTTCTAGGTCACTTTAAAAAATGCAAAAGAGGTACTGTAACATTTTACTCACTTTTCACCAAGAGGCAGCCATGTATTATAGCTAAAATACATAACCAAGTAGCACCAACAATGCACAGGTATTTGCAAAAGAACTAAAATAAAATGTTAAATAACTTTATAACAAGCTAGAGTGAGGCTGTCCTTATGCATTGACACTGATGCAGCTAAAGCAAATGCTATTGATCCCTATGGGATAAGCTGTTGAAGAACAGTAACACACATGGGCAGTTGTTTCATGTAAGGCTACTAATGGCATATTGTGATTAACTTACAAGCAAGAATGCAGATCTTCTGGAACTGAAGAATCTGCTATGTCTCATTTTTTCCTCCTGCCTCCAAAACCAATTAGATTCTTGGCAATGAAAAGATATCCTTTGTTTAAATATTCCCACTGTGCCTTCATACAGCATAACAAGCAACATATAGGTATCTCAGAAGATGTTGTGAAACAGCTAAAAAAATTGATAGTTCCAGAGATGACATTTAACAAATATTACCACATATTCATACCGTGATCTTGGCACAGTTCCATAGCAACTTTTTTCCTAGTAATTTCCTCACTGTCTCTACACAAAAGAAAATGGCAGTCACTCTCATGTTTAAGGTAGTTAATGATAGCTACACAAAAATCTTGCAAAAATTAAGAAGATCTTTCATATCCATTGCTTGCAGTAAGTTTTTTGGGTTTTTTTGGTAGCAGAACCTCAGCCCTACAATCAGAGAGGCATCTTTTGCCAGTTTTATGAAATTCCATCAACATCTCAATCCGCGAACAGATGTTTCTCTTCTGTGGCTGACTACTTGATTTTTCAGAGTGTTGCTATCACGCTGTATGGAGCTTTTTGGCAAGTATGATCACCTCAAGGATACTTACCTGAAAATCCAAACTTTCGCCCAACCATGCTTCTATAATATGTAAGGATGAAAGGTAAATGCTCAGCTGGCTATTTCAGTCCTTTGTAAATATAGGCATATGGAGAAAAGCCAGCAGAAGATGAGGATGGATGGCCTACTGTACATCATCATTACCTCACGGTGTTTAGCTAGACCTAGAGTGTAAAAAGAAGCATTCACGTGGAATTCACTGTCCATCAGGAAAAACAGTTATTTCCAGTTTCCTTATTCCATGTAAGAGTAAGATTTAAAAAACAAAACCCAAACAAAACTCTTAATATATAGTTTTAAGTCTGCCTTATTTTGGAGACTTTGGGTTGCTGTAATAAACGTCAGAGCTGAAAAGCAGTTGCAATCAATGGATATTGGTGTGAAAATAGTTGTAACTGAAGGGGATAAAATACAGTAAGTTAAACAACCTAACCAGCAAGACCACTCTCCCTCCTAATTACACTGCATCAATAGAAAGATTTAATACGTTCACCAATTAAAGTAAATCTCCAACTGTGCTAGGCTAGTGAGGAGGCAAGCTTTTATTGCTGCTATACAGTCACTTCTTAAATATTCTTTTACTTTCTGACTGACTACTCAGGGACAATGTCCCACCAGTCCTCTGACTAATTAAGTAGTATTAGTACTGTTACTTGTATATATCTGTGCCTCCTGCCATTTATAACTGGTTTCTGTTAAAAAAAGAAATCAGCACTCTAAAGTTTTAGATAGTAATCAATAAATACAAGTGTACATAAATATGGATGTTAATATTTGTGTAAGAAAAATAGTTCTTGTAAGTTAGCAGCAATTTAAAGAGAAGACTGGTTTATCTGGATTAAATGACCATCTTCAAAGTTCACCATTATTTCTTCTTCTTGATATAATGAAATTCACATGTAATAAAACACTTCAGTTTATTGAAGTATATAGAATACATTTGAGTTAAAATTAGAACATTTATAATGCACTTAAAACTGAAGACCCACTTAAATTAGTTTTAGAGTAAATCTGAAGGCAGTGAGGAATAGTCACATAATGCTGTTAAGGTACAACCCGTATGAACTGCAGACCTGCATATTTCTTTGGAAAGATCTAGAAAGTAATAATGCCTCCCTAGCCTTTATGGTTTGCAGAATGTAACAAACCACCTGCGCTACACCCATTGCAACTGTTTTCTTTAACAAACATCCAGTGGGCCTAGTTACAAACTCCAGAAACTATTTCATAGCTACTACAATACATCGCACATTTCCCATGGTCTTGGAGAAAGATGCATTCAAGAAGGGTTGTGTGATACGAAGTTTTAAATCATACAGAGAGATGGAAGCACCAAAGAAAACGGAGTTGATTGTTATGATTGCTTTGAATTTTTTTTTCCTTTTTCTTTTTTTTTTTGTTTTTAAATAAAGTCTTTATGTTACTTTGCTATGATTGGCCAAAGGAGATTATTTTAGGAGTCTTGATTTGGTTAATATGCAAGAATGTGAACAGTGTTCACTAGCAAATACAGCCTGGCAGAATGAACTACGCTGGT